CCATCCATCCATCCATCCATCCATCCATCCATCCATCCATCCATCTATCTATCTATCTATCTATCTATCTATCTGTATGTCTATTTCTACCTGTCTGCCTGTCTCTCTCTCTCTCTCTCTTTCTCTCTCACTTTTTCTCTTTCTCTCTTTCGGTTGTTTTAAAAGTTTAATAAATATTTATTATTCCATTGATTAGATTTGGGGTTCATATGATGTCGTGCGTGCGATTGGAGCTAAATTCTGATCAGATGGCGAGCAATCTACGAGTGAATAGAGTTGCTGTACAGACATTCGTTTTTTTTGTCGTCTAGTTAACTCTGGTTAGAGTGGAATAATGCAGCAGCTATGAACAAATTGGTACCCTTTTTAGACTCCACTGCCTGTTTTCATTCACTGTTGTGTTTGTTTCGCCATTGATTCAACGCGGTTCAAAACATCTAGTTTTACAGGATCAACATCGGCTTTTCACGATGCTATGCAGTAAAGCGTAGCGCTTTGTAGTAGTGGTTTGGAACTATACGTGGTGTTGTTGTTGTAGTGTGTGTGTGCGTGCATGCATGTGCATGGGTAGGTGCATGTATACACATATGCATGCGTGTGTACATAAATGCGTGCGCGTGTGTGGGTGGGTAAACGAGTGTGTGCGAGCGTGTGTCTGCCATCTATCATAGATTCTAACTGTTCGGCCATGTGCACATGTCCGGAATAATCCCATATATCGCTGTTATCCTGTTGATCTCTCGCACTTCGTGTGGAAAAGCTGGCTGGAAAGCCCCCTCCCGCCTAAAAAATAACTAAAGGCATCCGTGACCGTAATCGTCTTGACCCGAGAGTTGGTTGACCGTTCGTTGCTCTGAAACTCCTTCAAAGTTCCTTCCCAAAGTAAAGTTGATGGTGAGAGGCTAACTCTATTTAAGAGCTGCATCGCACATGTAGGCCCTACTCCACAGCTTGACTGTGAGTGCTGCTGTGGAGCTTGGCTGGGCTGGAGATTGAGGGAGGGAAAATGTAAGATATTGGCTTCGTGTTGAGCAATATATTGACGTGTAAGATCACTGCATGCTGATTCCTTATTCTCGGTGGGAATTTTTTTTTTTCTCCGCTCTTATGTTTTTTCCCGGCAGGAGATACGATAACGTCTACGATACATTTTGGCAACTCGTTCGTCTACGAAATATTTTTCTCCATCTCCCCGCCCGTCCACTTATCTATAAGCTTTAATTAGTCGCTTCCTTAGTGTTTCGTTTCCCTTCATGTCCCGTCTGCGCGTGTTTTTTGCGTAGCATTTGGCTTTCCTCGCCGCTTTTTCTTGTTGCGTACATCCTCTAGTTGCCAGACGAGTAAATCTGCCCGTGGGCCTTTGTTGAGGCTCGGAGAGTGAGTTTGCCTGTGTAACAACCTGCCCGTGTGTAACAACCGTGAGGCGTATTGAGCAGAGCTGTAAGATTCCCGTGAACAGTGCCACCGGCTCAACGTGCCTTCTTGCCCCGTGTAGATCTCACAGCTGCTAATTGGAAGAGTATGTCTGGCAGTGCGAGTAACGAGAAATCTTGCTCACGAGATAGGGGGAGAAGGAGGAGGGGAGAGAACGGGAGAGAGAGAGAAAGAGAAAGAGGGGGAATGGAGAAGGGGGAGAAGATAGATAGAGTAGGAGAGATAATAGGGATGTATAGGGAGCAAGAGCAAGAGAGATAGAAAAGGTGGGAGAGAGAGAGAGAGAGCACGAGAGAAAGAGAGAGAGAGCGCGCGTGAGAGTGTGTGTGAGAGAGAGGGAGAGATGAAGCCACCGACCGCTCGCCCTTCCGTGCCTATCGTGCCAATAGACGGAGTGTGCTTACCGTCGCTGACCCCTACGCCACCAAATTGAACAAGGAGCGCGGGGTGTGGTGGGTGCATCCCGTGTTTCTCCCATGTAAAGCATATGCCACCCAGTTCCACGGTTAATTAAAAACGCAATTTCGGCTTTCCTTGCGTCCCGCTTGTCTTCGATTCGCGAATCAAGAAAATTTTTATCCTGTATTTCCCGGTGTTCCGGATAATTAAAATGGTCAGATCCAGCGCCCAGAAGATCCAAGCCCCTCCGCTCACCTCCCTTCCCATCCCTTCTCCTCCCTGTATCTACACTGCAGATACAGATGTCGGAACTGAGGGTGTCTAACATCTAAGCTTGCTGCTGTTTATATCGCTGGGGGTGCATTTACGCGCGCGGGCGAGTGGCTGAGAGCGGGAGGAAGAAGTCAGACAGGACACGCGGGGGGTTTCACGCTGCCGGCAGTAATGCGCGCGCGCGCGCGCGTGTGTGTGTGTGTGTGTGTGTGTGTGTGTGTGTGTGTGTGTGTGTGTGTGTGTGTGTGTGTGTGTGTGTGTGTGTCGTGTGTGTGTGTGTCGTGTGTATGTAGTGTGTGTGTGTGTGTTAGTGTATTGTATTGTGTGGTGGTGTGGCGCGCGCGTGTGTGCGTGTGTGTGTGCGTGTGCGTGTGTGTGTGTGCGTGGAAGGCCCTGCATTCTGAGCACGCATTGCATCGTTGTTGTTCACTCGGGCGCCCCTCCGCCTCCTCCCTCCACTCCCTCCGTCTCTTCCGCCCTTTCCTCCACTCCTCCGCCTCCTCCACTCCTTCTCCTCCTGCTCCTCCCCCTCTCTTCTCCACCCTCCGCCAGCCGGGGCACACACACACACACACACACACACACACACACGCGCGCGCGCGCGTGAAAGTACCGCAGCGCTGTTCATGCGGCTAAAAATATACGTCTGACGATGTTTTTCCCTCGCAGCTGTTCTTCTTCGCGTATATAGGAACGGGTATATATATATCCGTTCCTATATATATATATATATACCCGTCCCTATATACACGAACACGCCGTATTTTTCACGCATCGCCGAAGCTGTATATATATATCGTGGTGGAGATAGAGATATACTTATCCCGCGTGCGCTCGGGGTGAAACCCGCACGCGTGCGAAATGTCTAACTGGGCCAGCGGCCAGCAAGCCAGCTGAAGAAGCCCCAATGTTCCAATGTTACTCACAGCAGCAGCGTATAGACGAACCAACGTTACCAGCGCGGTGGTTGGTGGTTGCATTACTAGATTTCTGCTGAATGTTGACGCTGCGACTGACGTGCGTGCGTCCGCTTGTTGATAAGAGGGGCTGTTATGTTTTCGGGGATTTGCGGCTGGCCTAGGATAGCACGGGAAGGAGAAGGAAGGTAAGCCGATTCCGGCTGTCGGTCGTTAAAGAAGGAAAACAGGATGGTGGACAAAACAGGATGTGGAAATGATGCTCTCTACGTATCGAGGCTACGATCCTTGTGTTGATCTAGCGGTGGCTTCTGCGGCAAACTAAAACTGAAACCTTCCTTGTGACTCGGCAGTAGAAGAAGAATATTGTCATGCAGCGTCGCTTAGCTTGGTTCAAAGTCCGACTTTCCTCTCTCCTCTATATAGACCCAGTTTCCGTTGAAATTTCGCGAAAGATTGCGTGGAAAAGTGCGCCACAAACCGTTAGTAGTAGACCGATCCTTGCTTTCGATTTGCTCACAGCAAAGCACCAAATTCTGTACATTTTCTTGCTGCAACAATCTTTGTTGTGATTTTTAAGATATAATGTACATAATTTGTGTTTAGTAGCAAGTAGGTATATAGTACTTTATATAGTTTGCAAGAGTGAGAGTTGTGCTTTTTCAGAGTGTTAGTTTGATGAAGGTTATTTTCGTTTTAGATATTCCCTCTTAAAAGGGTTTTACGTAAATAAAGACTCATAAAAACAGATAAATTTATTGCTCTGTAAAACGACCTTTCCATATATATATATATACGCGAGAATGTTTAAGCATCGAGACCGTATTTATTCTGTCGCTCTTAACAGCCCTCTAAACCAATATGGCGCCATAATGTTTATGAGCAAAGCGAATGTCATCAAGAGTTTTAACTTCACAGCGTGAAACTGAACATAAACAAAACGCCAGCAAATTATTTTTAGTTCTTCTTCATCCATCTGCTTCTCCCCGCTTTTGCAACATCGCTGTGTAAGACGGTCGGTTTTTGTGCGATATCCCCCCTCGAAATATTTTAATCCTCGTCGAAAACAGATCCCTAAATAAAAGCTGTTAACACATTCACAAGTAACTGATAACTATACGCGCTAGACGTCTACCCATTCGCGTGACGAACACTGAAATTATATATTACTTCAAACGAACTGCCGTCTACATGCATGCGTCATTACCATTTTCCGTAGAATAGTGAGAATAATCGTGTTTTTAATGGTGGGTTCTAATTTTGCGCAGGAGTTCACGTGGTGGGAGTTGTACTCGATCTCGGACGGGAAGGAGCAGAAGAAGATGGACAGTCTTTGGAAGGTTAACGACATCAACCAGCTTGAGAACATGGTACGTGTGTGTGTGTGTGTGTGTGTGTGTGTGTGTGTGTGTGTGTGTGTGTGTGTGTGCGTGCGCGCGCGTGTGTGTGTGGATGTGCGTGTGTGTATGTGTGCGCGTGCGTGCGTGTGCGCGTGTGAGTGTGTACGTGCGTGTGTGTGTGTGTGTGTGTGTGTGTGTGCGTGCGCGTCATATGTGTGCGCGCGCGTGTGTGTGTGTGTGTGTGTGCGCGCGTGTGTGCGCGCGTGTGTGCGCGCGTGCGTGCGTGGGTGTCATATGTATATGTATATATGTATGTCGTAGCGCAGCATTGAAGCCAGGGGACCGTAGCTTAGTCGTGTGTAGCTATGTAACTATGTAAGGGTGTGTCATGTGCAAACCTAACTCTAACCCTAACACATGCCTAACTATGACCAGGGGGGGAGGGTCGTAGCTAGTCACGTGTAACCATGAGTCGCTACTTACAGCTGGTCGGAGCTCAGGACTTCGAGACGCGACGCGTGATCCGCTCTCGTCTGCAGGAGGTGAAGAGGAAGCACAAGGACGAGAGGGAGGCGATGATGAGGAAGAATAACCAGAGTCTACAGCTTCGCAGTGCTCCTCAACCCTTCGAAGGAATGCAGCAGCAGCACATGCAGGCAGAGGTGTGTGTGTGGTGTGCGTGCGTGCGTGTGTGTGTGCGTGCGTGCGTGCGTGCGTGCGTGCGTGCGTGCGTGCGTGCGTGCGTGCGTGCATTTCCGTGCGGGTGTGCGTTTGCATGGGCGTGTGTGTGTATGTGTGTGCGTGTATGCGTGTATGTGGGGACAATAGAGGAAGCAGGCCACGTTGTCCAATAACAAGGATCAATGCTGTGTATGGTGCAATATACTGCTACTCAGTAAGGATGATCTCCTTTGCCCCAGGCTGAGTGGAGAAGGCAGGCAGAACTGAGTGGCTTTGAAGACATGGCGATGGGCAACCCCTTAGGAGCCAATAGACAAGTCATCCACGAGACAAGAACCGGTCCAGGTGGCACCACCGTCATGTCAACTAGGAACACCTTCACTACACACAACCCCAGTGAGTCTTCTATTTATATGTTATTCTTTTACCTCCTTTAACTTTACTTCAATTAGAGATCACGTTATTCTCTTTATCTTTATTCTATACACATTCGCACTGATGCATGGTAGAATACTCTTGATGAAGGAATATTTTCTGGAGGTTGGATTCGACTATTTACGTTTGCAAACCTTAATCACAAACATATCGTCACGCGTGGTATACCATAGAAATGTACAGAGAGAGTCTAACTAGCATAGGTTCTCTCTGTGCGGTGGTGCACACCAAACATTTCCGTTAACATTCTCCTTTGCTCTGGTACCACAGAAATGTACAGAGATAGTCTACCTAGCATACCCTTTCTCTGTGTGGTGGTGCACACCAAACCTTTCTACTATCATTCTACTTTGCTCTGGTATTATAGAACTATATACACAGACAGATAGTCTGGCTATCATACGTTTTCTCTGCGTGATGGTGGTGCACACCACCACTTTTCCATTAACTTTCTGCTTTGCTCTGGCGGTGGTTGGTCTGTGTAGACGTACGGAGCTATCACAACGTGTTACTGCAGGACACGAGGGCCGTCACAAACACGGGAAACGTCGTTGACTACTCGCACTTGCAATCTCCCGGTACCGTTTCTTTCTCTGCTTCTATCTTCTTTCAACCTCACCTTTACGCCTGCGCTTTACTTTCTAGATTACGATTCAACACAATTTACATTTACGATTCATGTGTGTGTGCCTTGTAGCAACGGAATCAGAGGTCTCATGCTAGTGCGTGCGAGCATGCGTGTGCGTGCGTGTATGTGTGAACATGCGTGGGTGCGTGCGTGTATAATATAGGGTGCGATATCCAAAACTATTCTAAGAAGATACTATACGTGATTTATAGTCTTAATAATAATATAGTTTATTTTGTGAGTCCAAGAATGGGCCAATGAGGGGTCAACAATGAGGGGTCAACAAGCAGCAGTAAATTATTAATGAAGGGGAGAAGATACGCCGGGTGCCGTTTGCTTCCTCAGTAGGGTCCAGCCAAACATTTTAAGGGTCCAGGCAACAATTTCTTGTCTTTAGTGAGCACTATTTTTGGAAAGCGGTAAATAAAATGGAGGGTAAAGCGCTCATAAATTGTTTTGGAATTACCCCCCTGATCACTCGCCCCTCCCCCCTCGATCCGCTAGGTTTCATGTGCGTGTTCACTTTTTACTCATTTAATGGCGTTCCTGTTTTTAACATCTCTAAGTCCATGAACTTCAGTAGAACTCATAAATCGCTAGAACTGATATACTTAGTCGACTTGTTATACGACGTCACTATAGCAGCGTTACTTTGTGCTAACGCACGTACTCTCAGCTTTGCGAAAGTTTTAAAACTTGGATTAGCTATATTCCTTGGCGCACGGTAGCGTAGATTATAAGATGATTTAATCAGTCAACTACAAAGAATGTTTGCCAATATCATTGTCGTTGGGTTTTTCTCAGACGATGCGGAACATTTGGTACAGCGCCTGTCAGGACTGGGAGACAGGGATGGCAGTGGCTCGGTCACCATAACCAGAACGCAGACAAGCATGGTGAATGGAAAATCTTCAACCGAAACCAGCACGAAAACGCATAGCTTTGGTAAGCACCTTTTTTACGCCTGTTATTGGCTGTCAAATAGAATTACCTTTATTGTAGTAGTGTATTATTAAATTGTGAATATTTGCTGGCAATCCATATATAAATATGGTTTTTAATTTTTTGTATTTTACAGGTAATCCAGCTGGTGGAAATCAAGCTAGGTTAGCATTCCAAAAGTTGGATGCTGTGAGCAATCCGAAACCAATGAGGTAACTCACGAATTCATCCTATAAATAATGATTATTCATCGATTAAAATGTTAAATTATGCTAAATCGTTAGATGATTCATCAGATAACAGATGAATGTTCTAATGAGTGATATCAGGAGTATCATAATACGGACAGTATATATATATATATATATATATATATATATATATATATATATATTATATACATCTATATTATGACACTGCTGTGCTATTATTCTATCATATTTAACAGTTGTTACTGCTGTGATATTAACATTAATCCAATTGTCATTGTCACTGTCAATTCCATTGGCATTGGCATTGCAACATAATGCGTCAATAACCTTTGCAATGCATTTATGATTTATGTGCTTCGCGGGCGGGTGGGAGTATGGTGTGCGTGCGTGCGTGCGTGCGTGCATGTCGCCAGTTGGGAAGCTGAGCTGTGCTATTCGCTAGACTTTGCATTTTCTACAGGACATCTTACAAAACGTTTGTGTGGATTTCTTTAACGATATGCTCGGCAAATGCAATACAGCTACACGCAATGTCCACACGTAACCTAACACTGCCATGCACAGTCAAGCTGATATTTTAAAACGAAAAAGAAAAGGACGTCACGGTATAATGTATGTGAGTGTACTCTTTTGGCGCACATATGGAAGTAGCTCTAGTACTATAGCCCTTGTTGCCACGCCTGTTGCAACAAGCTAGGGTATAGTACTAGAGCTCGCATGAGAGTTGTTCACGCATGGTGCACGAACGGATTTTTGTTTTATTTGTATGTGCATGTATAGAGGCGCCACCATAAGGAATGATGTGAAGGCCGTGAAAGCTGAACTGCTAGATTACTGTCAATCGAACACGCAGGAATATGACAGCGACGTACGTATAAACGTGCCTAACACACTCACGCTTCGAAGAGGGCCTGGCCCACCTCCATTTTCGGGGCTAACTGAGTCCGGACTAGCGCGTATATAACCCGGGATAGCGTGTACACGCTGCAAAAATTTAACGCGCGCCTGGCCCGGACTAGTTTGATGTAGGATGAAATTTGCAGTCGGTACGGGGGTATCACTCGCACTGGCGAGGGACTCGTTGTCATAAGCATCATTAAATAGGTTACTGTCTTATGATAGCAATGACTATTTATTATGATTAAGATGTCGAGTTTCGGGAATACAAATCTAAATAAAAAAACTCAAACAGTAACACTCGGACTTGTGTTTAAGCGGTAAGGTGTGGTTTGGTTGGGAGGGGGGTCGTATATAGCGACACTCGAAAGCTGTTCTTCCAATTTACGCCCACTGCCAAGTGGTCCGACGGTGTTCATACTCAGCAGGGGTATGACAATACACAGATGAAGCATATAATATGACACAAGATGAAGACATAAATATACACAGGGCAGGAATTCAATTAAAAATCTTACTTCCTGCAAATATGGGTGCAAAGACCCACTCCCAGTTCCAGAGCACCTTATGAGTTGTGCTCATGTTGGCGTGGGGCAATGATGACTAGGCAGATCTATGCTGCATGCACGTGCATGAAGGAATGCATTCTTTCTCTCTTACTAATCTATGACTGTGTGTAATTGTCTAGGCGCTGTGTGGGCTCATTTTTGCACGTACAAACTAACAACCTCTCAAACATCTGCACTTTCTCTACGGAGGCATCATTGCATCTTATTCTGCTGCTTAAATAACAGCTTTCTGATCTTCTGTTAGGCCACTAAACTTGATTTTCCTCTGACGCTCGTGATTCATGGTAACGGTTCCGTTTCGCGATGTTTCTTTCTTTGACTGTTAGTGCACCGCCACTCTCCTCTAGTTTTTCTCCTCCTCCTAGTGTTTTTTGCCTCGCCTACTTCTGCTCTTATTCTTCCTGTCGGCTTCACTCTGTCTGCTATCTCTATCGTAGCAGGTCAATCACTCTTGGTGGGAGCACCCCGGGAGTGTTTAATGCAAATACCGCCAAAGAACAGCTGCTCTACTGGTGCCAGGCAAAGACGACAGAGTATCCTGTATGTATCGAGGGAGAGGGAAAGGGGGAGATGACGTGCATAGATGGGGGATAGTATATTTGGGGGGGAGACGTCATTGAGGACGCACTGAGTAGAACTACTCAAATTACGCGGGAAATTGGACGGACAACGTACTGTGGCTAAATTGTTGATACTTACGGAACTTTCTCTCCTGTTTATAGGTCGAAATAACGAATTTCTCGAGCAGCTGGGCGAATGGAGTCGCATTCTGTGCGCTGGTGCATCACTACTTCCCTCGAGCGTTCGATTTCGGCAAAATCAACCCAAAGAACAGAAAGGCAAACTTCACGATGGCATTTAAAGTCGCAGAGTGAGTAGCAAACGAACTTGCTGTGCTTTTCCGTGGCTGTCTATATACGGATAGGAATTATTATCAGGAGTGTCATAATATAGATCTCTATATAGTCTATATAAAGTCTATAGTCTATATACTCTATATAGAGCCAATATAGAGTATATTATGACACTCCTGTTATTATCACTACCATGAGATAAAAACGAAAATATATCAGCTACTACATTAGTAGGACTTACTTCTATGGAATGGTGTACCTTTTATGAAAGGGTGTACTTAGAGTGCACCTATGGTTATAAATGTACTTTTACAACAGGTTTTTAGGTTTCTACTTATAGTCTACTGTGAACAATTCATGTTTCATCACATAACGTTTGGTCAACATGTTCTCTCTGTAGAGATCTCGGTGGGGTGTACCCGCTGCTGGAGGTGGAGGACATGTTAATGATGGGCAACAGACCTGACTGGAAGTGTGTCTTCACCTACGTGCAAGCCCTCTACAGACATCTGAAGGACAGACAACCTGGAGTCCCGTGAATGTTTACACTGCCTGCCTGTTAAAACCGAACTCTTGAGATTCATCTTCCCATGGAGATTGTCGGGGTCGTCAGCCAAGATGGCGGTTTGCCAGCAACTAAGACGAGAAATCTTTGACGCATTCTTGCCAATCTTTGCACCGTGCGATGCCGATATGTTACTATGTAAAGCACATAGTCTTATATATGTGTGAAGAATTATACGTAACAACGTGGTATAAGACGTTTTTTTAAATGTACTCGGGTGGCTATGAGTATAGCACACATCAGAGAGAATAGTCAAGTCGTGTATCTTCACCAAGAATTTGCATTTCGCACATAGTATGAAAGTTAGTGTGAACGGGACCGTCACGATGTGCAGTTGACCTGCCTCGCACTGGTTTCAGTTTTGTCATCAGCCAGTATTGTTCCACATCACAGTGGCTGCTTCAATGACGATATTTATTCAAAGTTTGAATATTTTGTTGGTGTGTAGATACGGGGGGGGGGGCAGCTACATACGTTATATCGTGAGTAAATTATCTTACTCTTGACTACATATATATAGATAAATAGTTAGCTAGATAGAAGCGTATATAAATATACTGCCTGCCGGCCCTGCCATGAAGAATGTCTAAACTCTTCATGAATAAAGCTCCGAAAGAAGTCAAAAGCTGTAGAGCATTTTGAACCTGATGGTTCCTTTAAACAACCACGTGCCAGGCGCATTGCCTGCTCAGCTAAGGGTTTAATGACTATGTGACACACTACAGGGAAATTTTACAATGTGTATTGTTGTAACTGTACTCTAGATGAGTACATTATATGTTTAGAGAGCCAGAGGCAACCAGGTTAGGGGGGAAGAAACCAGAGTTTAGTTACACGCTAGAACAGATAAATAGAGAGAAAGAGTATAGGCATAGGACAGCAGTGGTAGACCAGAGTATGCGAGCCAACCATACGATCACCAGTCAACGAACGATATTACTGGCCTTATCCTGAAACATTAGTTATTCAGTATCACGAGTCAACATAGCTAGTTGTTGAACAACATCTACTTTATCATCTGCAATCGTGAATTAATAATGAAAAAATTTGTCCTTATTAACCATTGCTACAATGTATCTACAGGGCATCCTCCTAAATATTTGCTATCTACATATCTGAAACTGCAATGTTGTAATATCTCATCTTGATCTCATTTATATTAAATGATGATTCATATGATTTGTACTCTATGCAGTTGAAGAGTAGGAGTTGTTAGTACAACGCATACAACATATGTAATGATTTGTCAACGTCTGCACCCAAAAACTACGTGGATGTAAATTTGGAAAAGATGAACCACATACTTAATATTTTTGTATTTGCATCAAATGTGAATGACTCATATAAAGAAATGTGGCAAAATAACCCATTTGGTATACGTAAGCACATTATGGAGATTAGTAAAAATATTGACCTAAATTACACGCTCGTTACACTTTTCATTTGCACTCGTTATTCTACAATAGAAGAAAAAGCTCATGAGAAAAATAAGATACATTATGTGTATCTGTGACATAGCATTTTGCAGACACCTCACGTGCCATGGTCCATATTGAAACTGCTGAATTGCAACACAGAATAATGGACTTGTAAAAAGTAAATATTGCATGCCATAACAAAACTTTTAATACAAATATTTTAATATACATATTATCAGGAGTAAGATAATATAGAGGAGTATGACTCTCCAAAACATGTGAATTTCAACATTTGCTTGCCTAATTTTACCGATGATATATTACGTGCAACTCGATAAAAATTACATCTAAATGAGCGTTGGACATCCATCTCTAACTAAAACTTTACTTTGTTTAAATACCTCTTGCCTTTACGGAGATATAGCTTTGAACGTCACACATGGTTCATAGTGTTTAACTAAGCTGGCGGCTCAGATTGCCCAGATAGCTTCCGAACAGTGGCTAGCCTGTGAGGAATGGTCTTGTCTGTTGACAAGAATGCCACCTGTTGGCGGCAGGAGTAAGATAATATAGACTTCTATATTATATTCTATATTATATCATACACACTATATATATTATCCTATATATATAATATATACACGTATATATATATACACACATATATACACACTATATATATACACACATATAT